GGGCACCCGGTGCCGCCGGCCGAGGGGCACCCCCGGGCGCAGGTGCCCGTGGTGTCGCTGGCACCTGCCTTCCGTCCCGGTAAGCGGCAGAAACGTGTAATACGACGTTGAACTTCATTTCACCCTAGCTGCGTAGGTGATTTACGTGAGGTCAGTGCTGGCCGACTCCAGCCAGACTTCCCAGTGCAGCGGGTGTCCCGCAGGGGAAGGAGCTCGCCTTGCCCTCGCCTCTCGCACGGGGCGTTGGAGAAGGCCGACGGGGGTGGTGGTGTGCGATCCAGAGTGCCTGCAGTTGGCTCGAGTCAATACCCTTGCGAATGTGCTGAAGTGCAATACAATGATTAGCGATGGACACTAGGCTGTGTTTACATGTATGTCTGAAACTTCCAGAAGAACAGAATTGATGATGCCAAGTGCTATGTGGTAAACTAAAACTGTGTTGTCTCTAGCACAATGACGTGTCTTTGCTAAAGTGGACTTCTGGAGAACTTGCTTATCATGATACGCGTATGCGTCGATGTTTGTGGGTACTGAGTGGTTTTCTGATGGTGTAGTAACTTTAAAAAGATGTGAGGATGTAGTCCCATGAGAAGGGGGAGTGTGACCCTTTCCCTTATCATGCCACCCCTGTAGTGCGGTGTGTGCTGTGAGAGATTATCTGCTACAGGGAGCAGAGTCCGGGCAGACTGCCTTCCTGGGGCTGAGCCTAGCCTAAAGAGTCTCATCCAGACTATGCTCCTTCTTCTAGATCTGGGTAGCTCGGGCTCCACTGACTGATTTTTGTTGTTCTGCCTTAATTTTGGCCGTAATTCTAAGCTGTATGTAGCTTCCGCAGGTTGCCACCTGCAGAAGAAACTGCCTTTTAACTTCGGTAGGTTGCCAAGTTACTACAGAGTAAACTGAGTAGCTCTGTACCAGTTTGTGTGTTGGTAGCCTAGAAGCGGTAGGTCAATAATGCCTCTTTCCTTGTAGGAATAAAGAAACACAGGATGATTTTGACCTGATTATAAGTGAAGTCTTATAATCGCTTAATCATTGTCAGGTGGAAAAAGGATTAGCTCTGGGTTTGAATCTGGAGTCCTGTGTGACTTGTGTTAAGCTTATTGCTAACTAAATTATCAGTATTTTTGTGTGTGTGTGTAGTAGCTGTGTTTAAAGTCTGCCACAGATCACTGAAGGTACTGTTTGTTGTGGCACATCAGAATCTTGAAACTCCTTCTCTGAAAGTAGCTGGAAAGGGGAGGGAGGGGGTATACTTTGAGGAACATGTGACTGCTTAAACCTGAAGGTGGCAGCAGTCATAATCTGTATCAGATAATGCCTAGATACATCTTTAGGTGTGTCATGTAGGAAGAAAGAGGCTGTTACTAGATTAGTTCTAAATGAGGTTCAGCTGCATGCAATTATCCAATTCGGGCAGATCATGGAAACTCTTGAAATTCAGTTGTAGTTTCAGACAGGCGTGATATTCGGAAAAATCCAAATCTTAATATTGCTTTCGAACAAGATGCTGACTAGCCAAAATACTGTCCTGGGAAAGCTATTAGGATGGCATGTAAAAATCCTTAGAAGTGAATTAGGAAGCAGCATAACGAGTAGGAGTAGAAGTGCGTTTCCTGGTTCTGTGGAAAGGCTTTCTAGTGATAAATGTTAATGACATGTTTCTGTTCCAGTGCCCTTAAAAATGTTTGCCAAGTATTGTGATGCTTCTCAAACATCACTACTTGTTAAATGCTCTATCCTCATTTTAACAGACTTTCAAGTAGAATTTAGGTAAATACAAGTCTGTTTTGTTTAAATGTTTGGTAAGCCTTGCCTGATGGGCTTGCTTTTGGAGTAAGCTCGTATACTGAATTTGGTCTGTAGAATGCTGTGGCCTGGGAAAGCTTGAAGCCACTGTGAGATAAGGAAGGAAAATAAGGATGGGATACACTGAAAATGAAACATGGCATCAATACTGTCCTTGCCCCCCAATAGCACTACACATCTTCCTTCAATAACTATTCTGTGATTTGCTTTCTGCTGAGCGTTTTGCTGGTATAGTGATTTGAGGATTTGATCCATAGCAAGAATTTTAATTTAGATCATGGAAGAATGCTAAACTGCTATGTCTATGTCATGGTATTTACTGTCAGGAAGCTCTTAATTACCTCAGGCTGGTGTATGGTGCTTTATGTAGCATGAAAACACCAGCAGTGGTTAAAATAATTTATTTTGCTGGTTAGAAGAACTTAGCTGCTGAATTGTGTTCCAACTTCCCTTACCCTTGCTCTGCTTCCTAAAGGAGGGAACAGAGATGCACAGAGGATGGATTAAATTCCTGTCCAGGTGCCTGGTCTAAGGATGATCCAAACTACAGTAAGTGGGGTACAGGGTTGCTGGCTTCAGTTCCCTTGTGTTTCTGTGGGTGGTCTGTGCTGGGTCTGACCCTGCATAGTTGCTTTCTTTACAGACTTGCTGCTAGCCTTGGAGTTGATATCAATCTTATGTGGTCTGCTGTGAACAGTGGTGGTCTGTAATGCTGTAGTCAAGGAATGGTGTTACCTTCTGTGACCCACCTCTCAGCAGTACAATGTTCAGGCCCACTGCACCCTCAGTGCACAGGTGGGGAAACTATACCACTGTCCTGCCTCAGTAACTAAAGGATCAAAATAATTGGCATAAGTAAAATGCTGTTTATCCTTGTATTTCCTACCTTAGTTTGGTTTCCCACCTCCAAAAAAGTGCATGTGCTGACACTCCTGCAAGCCTGAGGAGGTGGCCTTAAATACAGCTCACCAGTGTTTGGAGGAAGCACCCTTGTTTGAGAAGGTGTTTTGGGAACTTTGTATTTTGTGTTAATGTTTTCCCTCTAAATACATTCCTTGTAATTGTTCATGTGGTTCACTGATCTGCACTCTGTTCGAGGGCTTGCTTGGGATAGCTCAGGGCTCCCCATCTGAGGATTTAATGCAGCTTTAATAGTGGTAAGCTGAAGAGTGAAAATCCCTTGCAGGTACTCTGGATTTCTACACCTGCAAAAACTGAGAATTGGGAATCTAGTCTGTATTCCGCTGTGAGGAGGAGAACACTGTTTGTTCCTAATACTTGGCTAATGACAAGTAAGACTGTCTGAAAAATCAGTGGAAGTGTCTGGATAAAAGTGGGAAGCATGCCTGTTGAAGGATGAGCCACTCATATTAAAATGTTAAGATTTCTCTGGAGGAAAGAAGTAGTGACTGTGGAGAGTCAAGCCAGTATGTTCTTCGGCCTCAAGTCTGAGACAAGTAAGAATGTGTCCACATCATGCTGCGGTCCAAATACCCTGTTAAAATACAAAGGGTGAACTTCCTTACTACTTTTTTAGGAACGAGCTCAGTTTTAGAGTTTATGAGGTGGAGTTCATAATGAAAAGCTGCATGAGGAACTGATAGAAACAGATTTGTGCAGTACTCCCCTGTTGCTTGTGGGTGCTGTAGGGTCTCGGGGGAGGTTTGTCTGAGAAGGGTGGGAGGAGAGACAGTTGTTAGGCCTAAAAAGGGCTTGGGAGGGTGTTGGGCAGAGACAAAACCAAAATCATGCAATCCTGTGCCAGTTCTTAACCCTTCACTGGAAGGAATATGTGTCTGAAGGGGAGGTGCTGAGAGAAATTATCATCTTCCTGGAATGCTGCTGACCCCTCCTTTCCAGACGCTGTTCCATAGCTGTCAGGCTGATGTTCTGGGATCATAAAACTTTGTTTTTCCCTGGTCGCTAGGAAGCCTTGAGCTGACTGATGCAAGTTCATCACTCTATAATCTGAGAATTCAGAGGTGTTATCCTGACGTACTTCTTTCACAAAATCAATACAAGCTGCAGCTGAATCTAAAAGGGGTAGGAATAGATTGTTTCAGCGCTCTCCTGGTGAGCAAGGTGTGCTGGAACATCTTGGCTGTTTTTCATAAGATGATCAGTGTTCATCCCTCAGGGGAGGGAATAAGGTTTCTTGTGTGCTCAGAAACAGAGAAAGGCTCTTTTGTTTTTATTTTGAGGTGAATGCTGATTTGAGGGCTCAAGTCCAGGTTGTAGCCTTTGCCTGGAAGTGGGGTAGATATGAGGGGTAATAGTGGCTGAAGTGGTAACTAGATTTTTATTTAGACTGAGACTAGTTGAATTCCACTGCTATATTCCTGTTTGCTTGCAGAGTGCTTTAAGATATGCTTAGCTTCAGCTGTTCCTGTTAACAAGTGGTGCTCTTAAAGAGGAAAAATAAGCACTTATTACATAAAAAAAAATAAATTTAAGTAATTTAGAACTGGGGAACAATTGCTTTCTCTTTTTTTCTGCAGAGCTCTGCAGTTTGCTGGTGTGAAATACACATACAAACTTTATCAGATATATCTATGTCTGCTACTCTGAGCTAAACACCTTTGAGTAATAAGTTGTTGCTTGTTCTCATTTTTTCCCTGTATTTTGAGCCATTCGGCAAGTGATATTGTAGTTACTGGTTTACTAAGCCTTAGTTGTTACTCTTGTAGAGTCTGTAAACTAAGATGAAATAGATGTCGTTGTGTGAAACTGAGGAGGAGTGAAACTTCACAGTATTGCTGTGCAAGTAAAATTCAGTGAATTTATGCTTCTTGAGCATCACATGCTAATGGATCTGGTGTTGAAGATTTTGGAGAACGTGGTATTGTGCTGCTTTGTAGCTGGACTTCTGCGGAGAGGATGCTGATGTACTTACATTAGTGTTATCCCAAATCTGCATTCTTTACTTGGTGTGCAACAGCCAATTCACACGCTGAGTCGAGGTATTTGCTTTTATTTCACTTCTGCGCAGAGATGGGTGCTAGGTGGTAACTCCACAAAGCTAGCACTCCATTCTGAAAAACTGCCATGCATTTGTTACATGATTAAAGAAAACCCACCCAAGTTTATATCTATTGGCTAGTGATCACTGTAACATTTGCTATTGGTTAATTATATTTAAATTAGCTGTGTAAATTGGCACGTGTGCTCTTTGTTGGTTTGGGGGGGAGCAAGTCTCTTCAGGTTCGATTTGAGTTGGTGGTCACTCTCCCCTCACCCCCTTTGCTCCCCAGTTACCGCAGATATTCGCTG